TGGGCTTTTTTAGTAACTTTTCTCTCCTGACTGAAATCCAGTGGGGCTCAGTAACGCCATTGGGAAGCAGCTGTAGGAGCAGCCCCTGAGGGCTTTGGGTTGTTCAGTGCTCCCAGGAGATGAGCAACCTTCTTCTGTGGGTTTGGCATCACGACTTGGAAGTAATCATACAGAATGCAAGGATCAAAAGTTCTGTATGTGTGTGTGTGAATTCTGATCCTTTGTCATGGGGACGATTGAGCAAAATTCAGTTTCAAGGGCTATCCAGTCATTCTGTTCCTGCCTATTTTGAGATATCCAAATTTGATCTATGGTGGCACAATGGGATTTTTTTCCATGGAAGATACTTAACCTTCTTCATATGACCATTTAAAAAACGTTTAGAAGTCTTACCAAAATACCCTAATGTCCAGAAAAATATTAATCTGATTCTAAATATTATGAGAAGGCTTTATGCTTTAAGTGTGGAAAATTTAATTACAGCTATCCAAGATTAAAACCTAATTTTTCCATATTAAGACCTTGATCTCTCAAGTCTGAGGCCAGTGTGTGGCACAGGTTTGTGCTGGCCCAAGTGTTTCCAGTGTGTCCAGACCAGTCTAACTCCCTGTTTGAACAGAAATGAGGGAATTAGACCAGCTTGTTTCCCAGGATTGAGGAGCATTTCTGTGGTGTCGGGCCCTTGGCTGCAGTGAGTCAGAGGACAGCACCCTCATGAGCCCAGGTTGTATTTTATGGACATAAAATAGGTTTTGGTTTGTGTTTTTGCTTTTTGGTGACTCATGAAATCATGGCCATCACGGCCTGAGCTGGATGCTGCTGCTGGCTCCTGCTCTGTGTGTGCTCTCTGCGTGCCAGGGAGCTCCAGGTGCCTTTGGGGAGGGGCACAGTTCTCAGTCCTTGTTAAAAGGGAGGACTCTCACAATCTCAAAGTCACTGTTTGGAGAAACCGAGTCCCAGCTGTGCCCCATGCCCAGCCTGTCCCCAGCCCAGAGCACTCGGTGCCACCTCCAGGTGCCACCTGCAGGGACGGGCACTCCAGTCCCTTGGGCAGCCGCTGCCAAGGCCTTGAGCACCCTTTCCATGGGGAAATTCTGGGTTTGGCACAGGCAGGAGCTCACTCCTGGGGCTGGGGCAGGAGCATCAGCATCTCCCCAGGGAGGGCTGGCTTGGCACAGGTGCCACATGTGCCACCTGAGAGGTGCTCAGCCCACCTGTGCCACTGCAGGGGCTGCGCCAGACACTCAGGGCTGTGCCTGCCCCGGGAAATGGGCTGGGAGAGCTGCAGGAGAAAACAGTTATTTGCTCATCAGGGAGAGGGCTGAGGGGAGTGGGCTGGCTTCTCTGCTAACTTATCATTATTCCTGCTGATTAATAAGCTGATGTTAAGTTGCAGAAATTTGCAACAACATTGAGCAAAAGGCAGGATTTTAAATCAGGGTGTGTTTAATTAAGTAAAGCAAAAGTCAGTAAAAATAACTCCTTTTCAGAGTTGGCAGTGACTTTAATTTACTTCCAAAAGGCTGAAGATATGTAATGATATGTGATCTATTGCTAAGGCTAAGCTTGTAGTAATGCTGGTTTAGTGTAGTGATGCTCATTTGGTGTAAAGAATATTTGCATGCAGCCTCAGAACTTGGCAAAGGGGAAAAAAATAGAAAAAAAATAAAGATTCAAAACTATGTGAGCAGCCCATATGCTGAGTTTAGGAAATTTGGAAGAATTAACCAATATATTTATTGGAAATGCTTTCTTCAAAGTTTACATGGAAATATTTCCAAACAGCTTGGAAGATTTCAACTTTATGTTGCTGTGCTGTGTATTTACATGGGACAGGTCTCTAGGGCAAGTGGCAGCCAGAGGTGATGTCCTGCTCAGTGCCAGGTTTCTGATGATGGGTCTTTTGGAAAATAATTATCCCTGGGTGTTCTGTCAGTTAACTTTCTGTTGGTTTAGCAGTCTGGTGAAAAAATCCCAGCCAAGCTGTTGTTTCAATAACTACATGCATGGCTGTAAAGACTGTCTTATTTCTTTATGCCACGAATACCAGAACCTTGCCTGAAAAGCTAAAATCCATCAGTGAATCTAGGAAGGAATTATCCCAGAGCCTCAGCAGAGCAGACTGAAGTCAGAGCCTGGTTTTCAGCAGGCTCCCTGGGTTCTGGGGCCTCGGGGGAATTCTCTGGGAGTCCATACCTGGAGCTGTGCAGGGCAGGTGGGAGCCGGGGCCAGGCCAGGCCTGATGAGTCATTGTTCCTGTCACATGAACCCTCCCTGCTCTGCTAATAGGCACTTAGTTGAATTTTAGATGCCTGGAATCATTAAAAAGGCTGGAAGGCATTTGTGTACCTTGTCCATTAGGAGAAAAATATGTTTTCTATAGCTGTAACCTCCTACAGCCTCGAGCCCAACTTCAGAAAGTAGCTGCATTTTTTGTGTCATTATCCATTACCTGAATTGGGATGTTTGAAGGCAGCAGTGAATTCAGCTGCTTTCTCCCATGTGACATTGGTGGAAGAACATGTATTTCTTTTTACTATTGAAAGAAGAACCAGTGGTAGGAGTTAATATTCCACTCAATATCTGTGTCCTCTTTTGTTTCATTTCTTCCAGTGTTGTCACATGTGGTGCTTTCCTTCCCCCTCCCTGGTGACTGTGCTCTCAGGCTGTACCTGCCTCCTTTCTTGCAGGCATGAGGGGTTGAATTTCTGCCACCCCCTCACCTGGAGAGCAGGTAACAAAGGGCAGGTGGAATCCAGAGTGTCCCAGCTGTGACAGAGCCTTTCCTCCTGTCAATAGACCAGGTCCTGCATAGGCAGAGGGAGAAAAGAAGTGCTGAGTTTTCATATTTTCATGGATAGACTGACAATAAGCATGGTGGAGCATTTTCTGAGAATTCATAAACTACAGAGCTGGGGAATCATGGAATCACAGAATGGTTTGGTTGGGATGACCTTAAAGATCATATTTTTAATATTTTTTACCCCTGCCATGTCCAGGGATCCAGGGACAGCTCTCTGGGCAGAAGTTGAATCAAACAGTTTGGCTCTGTGTTTTCCTGTCCCTTCCGTTGCCCCTTGTGCTCTGTGCAGGGTAGTTTGGGATTTCTGGAGTGATGCTGTGTTTTTCTAAAAAATTAAAGCATATTCTAAAAGGCAATTGCTTCTCAAGTTAGTTTGCATTTACTTTAGATGCTGAGCTCTGTGGGGTTTATGAAGTGTTTGTTTTTTGGAAAGGCTTTGGGAAGACAAAGGTGGGAGTTGCTGCAGCTCCTGCTGTCCCTGCTCAGTGCCCTGGGGCTCAGTAAAGCCCAGGTGAGGCAGCTCCACCCAGGGCCTCACCCCCTGGCACTGTTTGCTGTGCCTCACATCTGGGCTGTGTCCTGCTGACAGCTGTGCTGGGAGCTGCTCCCTGGAACAAGGATTAAATCTTCATCCGGATCACCGATTCCTCCTCCTTCAAGGAAATGGTTCAGCGTTGTCATGTGAGGACTGCTTATCCACAAACCTTGGGGCTGACCCAAGCACCCTTTTCTTCTTCCCCACCTCTTCTGTTTAGAAAATGTTCCTGGGAGCAGAGTGAGCTGCAGCTGACATGGAACTGGAGTGCATGGCTGTGGTGCTCTGCTGTTCTGCTGCACCTGGACTGGCAGACAGCGCTCCTGATTTTGTTCTGGTGCTTTCCAGTGTAATTTCCTCCCTTTTCCCCCTCTCAGCTGACCCCTTGGGCCTGCCAGCAGATCCACTCATTGTCATCTGCTAAGCACAGTCAAGGCTTTCACAGAGGGTGTGGATGTTTTGTGATCTGGGGCAGAATATAGGTTATAGACTTCCACTGGCACAGAGCAGCTCTGGCTGCCCCTGGATCCCTGGCAGTGTCCAGGGCCAGGTTGGACACTGGGGCTTGGAGCAGCCTGGGATCATGGAAGGTGTTCCTGCCCATGGCAGGGGGTGGAGTGAGATGGGCTATAAGGGATGGCCCAACCCAAACCATTCTGTGATCTGTGATGTTAAGCAGCAAAACGAATAAAACTCCAAAGCACTGAACACTTGGATATCCAAGATCTGCATTTAGAAGTGGGAGCTGATTTATTTTCCCCTGATACAAATAAGATAAGAACATCCCCTACGCCCCCACCCCTGTGTTAAATGCTCAAGGAGAATGGCAGCACATCTCTCAAAGCGAAGAAAGCAAAATATCCCAGATGGCTTCAGGAGTAAATGTGTGGGGTTGCGGGAGGGAGAGCTGGAGGAGACATTGCTTAGTGGTGATCTCAAACCAGGGCAGTGCCTCCTGCTCAGCCCAGTGCTTCAGTCTGGAGGTGTTTGTTTGAGGTGAGTTATTGTGCAGCAAACCTCAGTGCTTTTGCTGCTGAGGTGATGAGAAATGGAAGGAAGGGAAACTTGAGATGGCAGCTGTAACCTCCTTTCTGGCCTGGTGCTGCTGCTCCCCTGATCAAAGCTGCCATGGCACACCTGCCTCGTGCGGGTGATGCTGGAGCTGTGATAGCTCCTGGTTATTTATACAGAGCCTGTGGGAAGCACAGTGCACAAAATAAACCAGCTCCTTTTCAGTCATGCAGTGTGAAAGGTTGAAGGGAAATGGCAACATTTGTACTTTTGTGCATCATTATGTAATGTATCCATGGAAAAAAACCTTCCTTAGCAAAGCCACAGGCAGCAATGGAGCCTTTTGTTGGGTATCTCACTGTATTTCTTTGACTAAAACAGATGCAACTGCAGCCTCTAAGCAATGTGAGCTGGGGAAGCAGGGGAATGGAAAGGTACTGGAAAGCTGTGTGCTGTGCTTTGCTGGAGTCCAGGTGTGTGAGGAGAGGATTAAAAAACAACATTAAAACTGAGATGGAAGATTGATCATTTCAAGTGGGAACGCTTCAAAGAGAGGCTGAGCAGCTGCTCCGTGTCCCGTGGTGCTTCCAGAAGAGTCTGTAGTGTGCAGTTAAAGCTGCAGGGGTGGTGTCAGAGCACTGAGCCCCCCTGAGCCCTGGTGTGTGGTTCTGTTCAGCTGCAGAATGAAGAGGAGCCGGGCGAGGCCGTGCCGGTGGTGAACGACGCCCCTCCGCCCTACAGCAGCATTTCTGCAGAGAACACAGGTACTGTCACCTGGGGAAGGGCTGGCATTGCTCTGCTGCCCCTGACTGCTCTCCTCATCCACAGCTGCCTCTGCAGCGCCTTCCTGAGCTGCAAGGGCCAGGATTGATCCACACAGCCTGTGGGTTCTTGTGGTTTACGAGATGCAATTTGGCTGCGCTCGTCTGATGTCATCCCATCAAGGGGTGTTCAAGTTACAGTTCACAGTGTTCTCAGTAAATTGGAGACAGTTAAAAATCAAAGTGCTGGGAGGATTTGTGGTTCCCCTCTCATTATCTGGCATTTGGATGATGCTGTGCCCCTTCCTTAAAGGATTCGTTACTTAAAAGGGTTTAAAGAATTCACTTTCCCTGCACTTTCCAATAACTAAGCACTTGGATGGGCCTTTGACTCATCCTCCTGTCCTGTCACTAATAACTTTAATAACCACTTGTATCTGGAAACGTGACTATTTCTGAGTATCCAAGTCAGCAGAGGCACAGCATGTGGTGTTGTTTTAAGCAGAAGCACAGCCAGACATGTTTGGTGATGTTCTCTGGGTTGCTGGCTCTCAGAGAAGGTGCTCCTGTGCTTTTCCCTCTCTGCTTTGGGATGGCAGGGGCTGGGCTGGGTGGGAGGCTGGGGAATGGGGCTCACTGGAAGTCACTGGAGCACTGCTGGTTCCCAGCAGGGTGTTCTGAGGAAGTGCTGAGCTCTCTCTGTGTTTTGTGCAGCTTACTTTGACTACAAGGATGAGTCAGGGTTCCCGAAGCCGCCGTCCTACAACGTGGCCACCACTCTGCCCAGCTACGACGAGGCCGAGAGGAGCAAGGCTGAGGCCACCATTCCCCTGGTTCCTGGCAGGGTGAGTGGCCCTGGCCCTGTCCCTGCCCTGCTGGCTGCCAGTTCAGCTTTAGCTCCTGCCCATCGTGTGTCATGACTCTAAAAATTTGTGTTTTTGAAGCTTTCTGGGGTGGTGATATTCCACACTCCTGTGAGAGAGTCCTGTGGCTATTTTTTAAAATTTTTTTTTCATTTTCCTTTGAGCACTGTGATGATGTCAGACATCTCAGTAATGCCAGCATGTGCTAGCCAGATTAGCTTGGCAAGCTGACAGAGGGACTGTGCTGTATCCCTGTGCTCTGACACTGGGGTTTTTGTTGGTTTTTTTTCATTTTTAAAAAAAGATTTAGGATTAATTCTTCAGCTGTCTGGCATATCTACCCTTGATACTCCTGCTGCTTACTTAGTTGACTTTTCTGGAGGTCAGTGTAGCTGATACAAGGACGATAAAACCATTCTGTCAGAATTATTTCTTTTTGTTTTTTTCAACATTATCTCTTGTTCTGCCATTCTTTCCACCCCTGCTAGCATTAGAAGTCCCCTGCTCATTACACTTCTTCACAGAAGCCAAATTCCTTGCTGAGATGATAATTTTTTGATGAGTTGAAGAATTCTTCACAATGAGAACAAGAACATGCTGGATCTTGACTGTGTTAAAAATAAAGATACGTTTTCTATTATATAGATAACGTTTCATACCCTGCACCATTTCAGGATGAGAAACAGGAATTTTCTCGTGCCTGCATTTGTAGCCTTTTGACATTTAGGATTCCAGCCCTTTTTTTGAAGAGTCACACCCAGAAGTGGGGTTGCTGGGTGGACTGGACTGACCTAAATCCCCCGTGTGCTGCCTCCCTCTGCATTGCAGGATGATGACTTTGTGACACGGGATGACTTTGATGACACTGACCAGCTGAGGATAGGAAATGATGGCATTTTCATGCTGACTTTCTTCAGTAAGTACCTGATGGAATGAACTTTTCTCCAAGCAGTGACCCAGAATAGTTTGGGTCACATTTATGTTTATGTAGCACCAGGAAAAAACCTGAGTGCAAGGGGTTTATGGTTTTTTCCTTGGTATATAACAGTGTCTTGACCTGCTGCTTTTCTCCTGCTTTCTCAGTGGCATTCCTCTTCAACTGGATTGGATTTTTCCTGTCTTTCTGTCTGACTACTTCAGCTGCAGGACGATATGGGGCCATTTCTGGCTTTGGTCTGTCTCTTATTAAGTGGATCCTTATTGTCAGGGTGAGTTGTGTGGTACAAAACCATGTACACAGACACTGATACTCTTTTTTCCCAGCAGGTTTTTATCTCATACTGAAGTTAGTAATAAATTTAGAGGATTTTTTAAATAATGAAATAATTTTTGAGCTACTTACTAAGAACAGGGCTTTTTCATAATTGTATCCTGTTTATATGCTGAATTACAACTGTAGTAAAAGAAAAGAAAGACTGCACACCCAGATAAACTTTGGGGATGTTCCATCCCTGGAAGTGTCCAGGTTTAAGCTGTACAGGGATTCCTGGGAGAGTGGAAGGTGTCCTTGTCTGTGGCAAAAGAGAGGAGCTGTAGGATCCTTCCCAGGCCAACCCCTGTGGGACTCTGGGGTTCATTCTGTGTCTGACAGAGGCACTGGCCTGACCAGAGTGTGGTTTGTGCTGAGCAGCAGCAACACTCTGATCCTGGGAAAACACGAAGCCAGGCAAAGCCAGCCCTGCCTTCAGCCTCTGCTGTGCCCTGGCTCTCCTCTGGAAAGAAGGAAATTGTCTAAAATGCAGGATGGCTGCTGAGGAGAGGGAAACAGGGCTGTGGGAGGAGTGAGGGTGGAGCAGCCCTGGAGAAGGCCGTGGGTGCCCTCTGGTGCAGCCTCCCTGCGGCACAGCAGCAGCACCAGGAGCAGCTGCCGTCCTGCTCCAGGGTTTTTGGCTCTTATATGTTTCTGAGGGATTGGGAGAGAAAATATTTCCATCAGGAAATCTTTATTTGGAGCCTGTGAAATGATGATATTCCAGGCTGAAAGTTGAATTTCAAGCAAAGCAGCTCACTGGCTGTAAGTAGAAGTAGAGAGCATTCATGTCAGAGCTGTCACTTCCTACCCTGTCTTTTGGGGCTGGGAATTCTCATTTGTGAATGCAGCATCTCTTCGCTTTTCTGACAGTTTCTGTGGTCATCTTGGTTCAGAGGTGTTAAGGACTCTTTGCTGGATTAAGAGGTGTGACAGAAGAAGGTGACATCATTTGTGGATTTGATTTAAACATCAGTAACAAGTTTATCTTTTGTTAGCTTTTAAGTTTGACCAGAACAAGGAATTATAATGTATTTATACTGAACCTGTGAACCTCAGTGCTCTCATAGTGTTGGTGCCTTTCATTTAATAGCAGTAATTTTCCCAACTGGGAATCTTGTCAGTGGGCCCCACAGATGTGGGATTTCTTTCCCAGCTGTTCCACCATCCAACCTGACAGCAATGAATGTGCTGCATTTCTGCAAGCCTGCTCTGCCCTTTCAGATCCTGCAGCTGTGCTTTATAGGCATCTAGGACATGATTTGAAACAGGCATATTTGCCCAGCAGTGTCCTTGTGCCCCACTGATCGGCAGAATTCATAGCTGGGTGTTGAATCTGTCCCATTCCCATTGTTGGAGCTGGTGCAGAAAAACGATAAATAACCGTTTGTGGAGGTAACTCATTGCTGCAGCTGGTGAAATGCAGGATCCCATGAGATCTCTTGTGTGCAGCCCTGTCTGGTTACTGCTAAAATTGGTGGGGATAGATTTTGGTTCACAAACTTCCATGTGCTCTAAACTGTAATTTTTTGCTGTTTTTCAGTTCTCCACCTATTTTCCTGGTTACTTCGATGGCCAGTACTGGCTTTGGTGGGTCTTCCTTGTACTAGGTGAGTGGCTGTGGGGGGAAAGATGCTTAAAAACTGTAAAGTCAGGTAGGATTTTGTGAGCATTCCTGGCTGTTAAATATGTGTGTGTGGCTGTCCAGATGAAATGTGACCCTCATGCTCCTCTGACTGAGCACATTCAGGTTTTAAAGGCACATGTAAACACTGTCCTGCCAGTTCTTGGTGGCAGCATCCTGACATCATCCAGAAGTTATGAAGAGAATAATGCTTGTTACTGATGTTGTGTCTGCTCTTGTATCTTAAATAGAGGGGTGGATTGTTCCCTCCCTCATCTTATTTCTTTTTCCTGCTTTGGGAGTGACTGGATCATGTTTGGATTCAAAAGTTCTGTGATTGCCCAAGGAAAATTTGTTTTTGAAGTTACCTGAAATGGAAAGATGAGGTGTTATTGCTACCAAAAATAATTGCAGCGTGTGATCAGCTGCTGTGCATCCCAGTGGTGAGGTCCCTCTGTAGTGCTGGCAGGGAGTTCAGCTGCTCCCTCTCCTTGAAGAAGCAACACCTCTGTTAACTGGACAAATGTGTCTCTCCCCTGCAGGTTTTCTGCTGTTTCTCAGAGGATTTATTAATTATGCAAAGGTTAGGAAGATGCCAGATACGTTTTCCACTCTTCCCAGAACCAGAGTTCTCTTTATTTACTAAAGGTAAATTTTTGCTTTCCTGAATTTGTTCTGCTTGATTGTAACTGTATTTAGTGACTTTTCTAGGCTACACTTTCCATTGCTTGAATATTTTTGGAGCTCAAGGAAGCAGGGAACAGTTGTTTCTTGGTACCCCCTACCCAGCTCCTGAGTCTGCAGAGCCCAGACTGACCTGATGGGAGGCAGAACAACACTGGACATTTGTCCCTGACTTTTGGCTGTGAGGAATTCGATATTCCTTTGATTCCCTGACTAGATACTGTGAGAACAGAACCCCTGCCCCTTGGTGCTGCTCAGTATTTGGCAAATGTGTCTTTGAGAATAAATCACATGCCTGAAACACGTGGTGTGTCCCAACCCCGAGGAGAGGTCACAAAACGTTGTTAGAGGGGCGTGCCAGTGCCTTTGGCTTTTGTCCCAGAACGAGCAATTTGTCTGAATTCTGCTGTTTGAAATTGCTGCCAGGTTCCTGAAGAAATGACAGCCTTGCACACCTTTGCTCTCCTCAGACCCTCCCACACACCTGAGCTGCCCTCCCTGAGCATCCTGCAAAAACCTGAGTGCCTGGCAGTGTTTTGCTCAGTGCAGAACCTCAGGCTGGCTGCCTTAATGGGGCTTGAAAGGAGGAGGCTTAAGTAGCTGGAGCCTTGTAGCATAATTTCCTGCTCACAGCAGATAATGGCCTGGCATTAACTGTCCCTCCCCGAGGGGAAGGAAATCCTGGAATAGGTTGCTTCCCAGCTGGGGAATGCAACACGATGCTCCCTTTAGAAATATCATAATAACGCTCCATTTCCCCAGAGAGGCAATTGCAGCTGGGACAGTCAAAGAAACCAAACCAGCCCCGGCTTTAAATTGGGGATCATTAAATTGTTGAGATTTGAAAACCGAGCCTTGGGTTTCCAAATGTGCTTCCCTTTTATTAGAAACTGCAAATTGCCCACGATTCTGCTTCATTTCCAGGCTGTGAGGGGAACCTGCAGCACAGAACAGCCTTTGTGCAGTGCTTTCCTCTGGTGATAGTGTGTAAAAATAGTTCAGCCAATTTCTTTACGTGTTTCAGTTCTGTTTAACAAAGTTCTGGTTTGTGACCTCCTCCAGGATCTGTAATGTCCTCCCAGATTCCTGCTGAGTCACCAGAGGCTTCATTTCCCCCAGTTTATGGTCACAGAATGTGAGCATTTAAAGTCAGCTTTATCTCTGCATTTTGTCTGACTGAACAATTTTTTCAAAAATTTTGCTCCTTTACCAAAACTTTATTTTTTATTTCCTAAAGGAGCTCTGTGTTTTCTTTTTGCATAGACTTTTCCTATGTTTGAAATTTGAAATTACATTTTTGGAGACCTGGCTTCACTCCTTGCTTGTGGAGCTGTAGAGTGTTCAAATTCTTATTTATGTGTCATTTTAGAGCATTTTCAAAAAGCACTTTCAGATATGCTGAGATCAATGTCCAGAATAATTCATAAATATTTCAACCGTGATACTTCCCCTTAAAATAAATCTTTAATCCTGAATTCTAAGTGAAGAAACCACAAAAGACTTGGATTTTTAGTGTATTATTGTCCTTAGCTGAGGTTTCCTCTTCAGGGCATAATGCAAAGGGCACAGTGAGGGATTAATGTTATTTCAGAGCAGGGATAATTTTTAGAAATTTAGGAGGGGAATAATGAGTGCAAACCGGAAAATACAACCTGGTGAAATGAATCTGGTGAAAAGCTGGAGTTCACTATTCCAGCTGTTTGTGCAGTAATGGACACAGTCCTGGTGTTAGCCTGTAAAATACACACAGATTGCTGAGCATTTTGCTGGAGTCACATCATTGTGTGCTGAGACACTTCATAAGCCCTTAGACATCCTGTGCTGTGTGAACAACATCCTCCTGTTATCCAAAATAACCCTCTGACTGCAGCTTCGGTGTTCAATATCCTTCTCCAACAGATGTTTTCTGGCAAATGTCTTCCTGCATTAGAGAAATCCCCCCCAAGAAGCAGCAGGACACCTGCAGGAAGTGAATCAAGGCTCTGGAGCAGAAGAAAAAATAATCACCTGCTTTAAAATAAATAAATAAAAGTACTGTTGGAAAAAGAAAAAAAAAAAAAGGAGAAGCATTTCTTTCGATTTGTTTTTAGGTGTAAAATTTTAATAATTAACGCAGAATTCTGTAATTGTTGACTCATTAGTGGCTAATGTTTGAAGCAGCTCTTGCAGTGAGTCTGTGGTGTGCTGATGGAGCCCTTCAGGCAGAGTTTGTGGTGTTTGGGCAGCAGGAGCCGTCCCGGGGCCAGCAGGGGCCAGGCTTGCTTTAGTTCCTCTGCAGCCTGGGAGCTGCCCGGGCTCTGCCTGT